CCATATATTTTAATTCTTATATGATTTAATATTATTTTGTCAAGCCCCATATGTTCAATAAATTTTCATATCTGGAATTGGAATATATGGTCTTATATGAAATTTCACATGGGTGAGCAGAAGCATGTCATATAACCAAGATTAAGCATTCTGCTTAGTTGGCTTGAATGATTCTGAATTTATTTCTGGCACGACAAATCTAAACCTCACATTAATTGCCTTCATTGTGGACTTCCCTAAGAGGGATTGGGATTGGGATCTTAGACCTATGTCATGTGAACAGATGTGGAAAGGACTCCGTGTACTGAGAGCTCCATCATGTCATACTTAGAACTTAGGACAGTCAACCTGCTGACTCTGAAAGTCACAAACCAAGTTTTATTTTAATTATGACTTTTCTGAGAATGGTTGGGAGATAGTGGTTGTGGTTGATTCTCTGTGCCAGTTGATACTGAATTTGGAATGGACAAAGTTTTATTGCTGTAAAAGTTGATTGGCTCCCATGTATTGCATCTTACGAGGTTGCAAAATTTTTTTTGGAAAACATTTCAAGGTTTAGAATCATTTAATGCTGGTTCAATGATTTCTGTTTGTCAGAGGATTATCCAAAGGTGAGCCCTATGAAGTGTGACTTCTGAAGAGGAAGTCCTTCAGGTTTAAACTCTGCAAAAGGGAGAATGACAAATATTATATCAAAAGATAGATCAAAAGCTGAGGAAAGGGAATAAGAAATACCAGCCATAGTGGTTCAAAAACTTGATGCCAGAAATTTTCGAAAAACAGAACATATAACCTCCAAAGAGTCAATAGGTTAACTAACAGAAGTTCTCTATTCATGTTATTTTTATCGAGGGGATTGACAAAATTTTTTTGGTGCCCCTTGCATGTATCACATTTTATGCTTGTTCAGATGGTGAAGACTTCCCATGTGGCTAAAAGGAAGACTAAAGGAAGTCCATTTCATATCTGAAATGATCTTGATATTTTCAGAATTTTGTTATGCCCACAGGGAATAAGAAAGTAATGCTTCATAATGTGGTCAAAATAATTTTATTTGAAACTTAGGATTAGAGAGATAGAATACATAAATAAGTGACCATTATGGACTAGTTCATCAAGTTCCAGTAAATCATGTGCTATAACCCAGTGGTCCCCAGACTTCTTTGAATCGTGACCTACTTGCCGATGTTCAGAAAATTTTGCGACCCACCAGAATCCAGAACGAGGTATTTTCAAAGGAATCATGACATGAAGAAAACTGATAGACCCTTTCTGCAGGGGCATTTTTTATCCCGAGTGGATGCGGATATAGTGATTTTTTATACCGGAAAAATGTACGTGACCCACCTTGATGCCTCTCGTGACCCACAGTTTGGGAACTGCTGCTATAACCCATCTAAATTTAGTGTAACAGTTGTTTTGGTTGTCTCATGGTGCTTTGGATTTTGAATGCTGATTGTTTCACCCTGTGTTTTTGGCATTGTGGATAATATGATTCACTAACTCCTGACCATTATGAATCAGGGATTGGAATGAGCAGTTTGCTTTCCCTGTAGTTTTGAATTTAAAACACTCCAGGTGCAAATATTCTACATGAGTCAATGACAAGTGGACTAGAAACAGTAACTACTAACAGATCAAGAGCATAAAGGCAGTAGAAATATATAGCTGCTTGACCGGGAAGAATGAGCTTATATTTTTTTATGGTTGTCATGATTCTGGGTGATATGCCAATTTACAAGTGGGGAAGATGATATATTAAACACTTACAGTAGAGCACCAATTTTCAAGACTTACCATATCAAGGGTTGTTTGAAAAATCAATATGTACAGACAAATAACCAAGGAAGTCATGATTTTTTTTCTTTCTTTCTTTCTGTCTGCAATTGCCCTGCCAAAGCAACTTCTTGCTAAATTTTGTTGTATTTGCCTATTGCAGTAGTATTCAAATTGCAGCCCAATTCATGTTTTTCTGTGGCCCACTTCGATGTACTAGGAATTGACTTTTTAATATTTAATCCTTCAACTGACACTCAAGAATACTGGTGAAATATATTTTTTAAGTTGTAGAATTGGATTATTTTGCTCATAAATACAGAGGAAAAAGGTGTGCTTTTTGAAGATACAACCTGCAACAAAGCAACACTAAAGAACCTGATTCCAAATAGTGACAGTTTCACTGAGTACAAGAGTGTGTAAATGTAACAAGTATGGGTAGTTTTCAGTTGCCACTCATTCTTAAAGTTAGATTTCCTGGCTTAAAGTACCTTGACCAGGAAGTTGAGCAGCAAGTTAAAGGGTTAACTTTGCAGAATTGTTGGATATTATCAATGCTGCCCACTCCAAGCCAACCAATATATCTATGTGGTCCACTCAAGGTGGACCAAAGTATCAGTGTGGCCCAAACCTAAAAAAATTTGGGGATTACTGGCCTATTGCCTTTATAAAATTCGATTGACTTTATATGGGAGCCCAATCAAAGCAAATCTATCTTGGCAAAATTCCTATTTTCTCCTTATTCAGGCTATGGCACCATTCTTGAATTTCTTTCCTCCAAAAAACTTTTTATTTTTTTCAAAATTCTTTCTTATACATTTCTATAACAAGCCGTCATGTACATGATTGCATAGCCAATGAAACTCTACTGACAATATATGAGTGGTATTGTCTGGTCACAGAGTGGTGTCCATGATGATCAATGTTTGTAGTTGCCAGTTGAATGATTGATTTGTACCTGGGTTGGTGCTGTAGTCAAAGAAATAAAAGAACTCGCAGGAATCAGAAATGAGTGATTGATGAGTTCCATGCAGCTGATGGTCCTAGCTCCACAAATTGTAGTAGAAATAGTTTATTGGGAGTTTTCTTTATAGGTAACTATGAATCTTAGGAGTTCTTTTGTTTTTAACTAATATATAAATATTCTCATTCAATCAGATTACTATTGACAAAGGCAAGATTAATTATCCATAATATGAGTATGGGTCAGACATTCTTGTAAAATGGATCATGTCTTGTCTGAAAAGATGATAATGATATGAAGGTAAAGTCTGAAACTGAAACTTCATAGGTCAATGTCTATTGCCAGCCAAACATTTAAAAAATATTTTGATAACCCTTTAATGCATGATTTTTTTAAATGTACCAAAAATATTTTTTATGATAATACTTTATCATGTGGTTGATGAGAAAAATAATGAAAAAATTCTCCTTACATTTTGGTTTTTCCATTAGATTGTAATGGGTTTCAATGCGAAGCAGAGCGTGCCATATCCGGTATGCCATGCAGTGTTGGGATAACTATAATTTGAAAGAAAACTTCTATCTGATGTCTATTTCTTCATTTTCCTCTACGTAAGCAATTATGCAGTTTCTTTTATCCCATATCCCATAAATCATTGTCCCTGACAAAACATCACAGACATTTTGTAGCCTTTAGCAATTCAGTGCATGTGAAGGGCTGCTTTGTTTCACGTGAAAAGAAATAATGAGGTTATTTTCTTAACTTATTTTTAGTTTCAGGAGTAAATCTCATATTTACATTAGGCCTACTGTGTTTGACTTTGAAGACAGAAGCTTAAGCCTCTGCTTTCCCCATGGAAAACAGGGAGATTGGATAGGATATGAATCCTGCATAATGTTAGACCTAAGTAGTTAGATCTCTTGACATCTTGCATATCCCCATCCCAAGGGATGAATTCATTGTGCTATTGGTTCCTCTTGGTACAAGGCATTTTCAGCATTTTTAAAGATTTATGTTTACCCTGTAACTACTGTTCTATATCCCCTGGAACCAGATACAGAAGTTTACCCATTTTTGTTGGCTGTGGTATTGTATAGTCCATGTATAGGGAAATAATAATAATAAAGTTTTCTGAACAGTGATTAATGGAGGCAATAGACATTTGGCTTGACTTTCCTGGAGTGAGGTGAGAAGGAAAGAGTTATTCGACAGTGAGGTTGAAGGGCAATCTGGATTCTCCTTCAGGGAAGAGAAGGAAAAGATGTGAAAATGAAATACCAACAACTAATTTACTGGTTTCTCCTCTCTTCATTGTCAGTGCAAGTTGCTCAGCTATTATAGTAGCAGGTGCTCCCCTGGATATTTGAAAATGAGTGACTTCATTCTCTTCAATAAAATTATTGGCTGAAGGTGTGAAAGAGGGGAAAGGACAATCCAACAGCCCTGAATATGCGACATGTCTCTAAACATGTCATGACAGTTCCCTTAGATGTTTCTCTTAGCTTAAATGGTGAATAAGTCTATTAAAAGCATTATGCTTTCCAAAAGTGGGTTTTTTCCTGATACATGGAATACTCCTCTGTATATTTTCATGAAGGTATGTAATAGTAATAGGCAAAGTATTTTTTGAAGAAATCCTTACAGAATGAAGAGATGAGACAAAAAGAGTTTAAAATATAACCATCTCAGTTCAGGTTGTTAGAGGGTTAACTTATGGTTAGATGGCAGACCTTTTTTTTAATTTAAGTCTGAAAACTGGCATTTTCCAAAATTAGAACTGGAATCTTGATTGCAAATACTAAAGTTTGCTTCACTTAAAAAATAAGCCCACTGCTAATTCTCTGTTCTAAATTATATCCTGCCCATAAACTGCTGCCACCACATAGCAGCAAGACTTCCAGATCTCTCATATCCATAGATGACAGTACCACTTGAAATAAACACAAGGATCTTTCCCACATTGAATTCAGTATAGCCACTGCAATAGTGCTATTCTCTTGTGCAAATGAGTTGACCAGGCAAGCCAATAATACTTTGAACAGCCTGCTCAAGCCTACCTTGAACAAGCCATTGAAATGGTTATGCAATAAAGCTGATGGACATATTTATGTCTAAAAAGATACTGCTCTTCCTTACTTTCAGATGCTCATCCTACTCCCTGCCAGCATGCAACTCATAAAGCTTGAGATTGATTGTTTCATGTAACTGTGATGTGTGCCTTAAAAGAGCCTTATGATGCATGATTAATGTGACTGGTGTCATGGATATCTGCAAAGATGAAGAAAGAGGGCGTCGGCTGGAGGAACTGGAGAAGGACCTTCTGAACCCTCGATCAGTGATCAATGTTGACTGCCTTCTTGACACAGTTCAAGGACTCATTTCTGATTGTGATCATCCTGCATTGAAACGGATCAAGAACATAGATTCATTCCTCTCTCGCTTTGAGAAATGCTCATCCAGAATTGTGGAGTGCCGTATGAAACCCGACGACTACAATGTCATCAAGGTGATTGGCCGGGGTGCATTTGGAGAGGTTCAACTTGTTCGACACAAGTCCACCAAACATGTCTATGCCATGAAACGACTCAGCAAGTTTGAAATGATCAAGAGATCGGATTCAGCCTTTTTCTGGGAGGAACGAGACATTATGGCACATTCCAACTCAGAATGGATTGTGAAACTTCACTTTGCCTTTCAAGATGCCAAGTATCTATATATGGTGATGGACTACATGCCAGGTGGAGACTTGGTGAACCTGATGTCTAACTATGATGTTCCTGAGAAGTGGGCACGCTTCTACTCTGCAGAGGTGGTGCTGGCAGTTGATGCCATACATCAAATGGGTTTTGTTCATCGTGATGTAAAGCCAGACAACATGTTGATTGATAAGTTTGGTCATCTTAAGCTTGCAGATTTTGGGACATGCATGAAGATGGACACTGATGGCTTAGTACGCTCTGACACTGCAGTTGGAACTCCAGATTACATCTCGCCAGAAGTCCTAAAGTCTCAGGGTGGGGAAGGTTTGTATGGTAGAGAATGCGACTGGTGGTCTGTAGGAGTCTTCTTGTATGAAATGCTTCTAGGGGACACCCCCTTTTATGCAGACAGTCTTGTTGGAACATATGGGAAAATCATGGATCACAAGAATTCTCTCCACTTTCCTGATGACATTGAGATCAGTCGTAGTGCCAAGGACCTCATCTGTGCATTCCTCACTGATCGATCTAATCGCCTTGGACGAAATGGAGTTGAAGAGATCAAGAGTCACAGGTTCTTTGTTAATGATCAATGGACTTTTGATACCATTCGTGATACAGTCCCACCCATTGTACCTGAGTTGAGTGGAGATGATGACACAAGCAACTTTGATGAAGTCGAGAAGGATGACAGTCCTGAAGAATTCTTTCCTCCTCCGAAAGCATTTGCTGGCAATCACTTGCCATTTATGGGTTTTACATATTCTGGCGATTATCAGCTCCTAAGCAAATCTAGTGATGTCCCAGATCACAACCATGTTCCTATGGGAAACATTTCGCAGCTCCAGGAGGATCTGAACCGTCAAAAGATACATGCCAGTGAGTGGGAAGAACGATACCACCACTTGGTGACTGAAGCCCAAAAAATGAAGGACAAGGAGATTCAGCTATTAGAAACCAGTCGGCAGCTAGAGAAGCAGCTGGCCTTGATGACTCATGATATGAAAGAGGCACAACGCAAGGCTGAAAATGAATTGGAAGCTCGGAAAAAGATTGAAGCAATGCTGCAAGAGACCAATCGTAAGCTAGAGGATGAATATAATCGCAGAAGTCGAGAACACAACAGCACTCTCCAGATCAATGAAAAAATCCATTCATATGAGAAGCAGATTCTGGAACTTAAGGAGAAATTGAAGTCAGAAAATGACACTGTCATCAAACTTAAAAAGCAGAATGCAGACCTGTCAGTGTCAAACTCTACAAAGGACCAAAGTCTGCAGGAATTGCAGGAGCGTGTCAGCAGGCTGCAACATACACGAGATGAAATTGAGAAAAACAACCTAAATTTGAAGGCCAAGCTCGAGCAGGTGCGAAACTCTATGACACAGGAAGGTGATAGGGTACGTGAATTGGAGAATAAAAAGCAGAGCTTGCAAGGTGAATTAGACCGATATAAAGAGAATGAGCGCCGTTCAGCTGAAGACAACCAACAACTGAGGGAACGTATTGTTGATTTGGAAAAGCGTCAAGCCATGTTAGAAGTTGAACTTAAAGCTGCAAGACAGAAGTACCAAGAAGAACTCAAAGCACATCAAGATGCAGTCAACTCCTACAAAACTGAGAAAACCCGCATCATCAATGAAGAGGGGGCCAATGTTGAAGCAGTCAAGTCACTCCAAATGAAGCTTAACGAAGAAAAGCAGCTGCGGCAGAAGGCTGAGCATTTTAACCAGGAAAAAGAACGGCAGATGTCAATGCTTTCAGTTGACTATCGCCAACTGCAGCAGCAGCTGCAGAAAGTTGAGGGAGAGCACAGACAAGAAGTGGAGAAGGTTCGTGCCATATACATTCAGCTTGAACAAGAGACACAACAGAGGAGTTTATTGCAGTCAAACATGAGTGTGGCCTCTTCTGAAATCTCAGTACTCAAGGCTCAGGAGAAGCAGCTTCAGCGGGAAATTAATGACTTAAGAGATGTTCGTAAGAACCTAGAACATCAGGTGCGACAGCTTCGAGCTGAGAGATCTCGTGATGACCTGCAAATGAAAGAACTTCAGGATCAACTGGAAGCAGAGCAGCATTTCTCTACCCTGTACAAGACGCAGGTGAATGACTTGAAAGAGGAACTGGAAGAGAAAGCCAAACAGTTGATGGACTTAGAGGAAGAAAATAAGTATTTGGCTGATCAGCTACAGAGGGCCATCTCAAGAGCTGATGAAGAAGCCTTGGCCAAAAGTGTGGTTGAAGAAAATCTGGCTGATATGGAACGAGACCGTATCAACAAGGAATTTGAGGTCAAGAACACATTGGAGGAGATGAAAAATGAGATTTCTAACAAGGAAGCATCTTTGGTTGCCCAGTTCAAGAGTAAGGAAAGTGAATTTCGTAAATCTGTTGAAGCCCTCAGTAAAGAACGGGACCTGAAGGTACAGCAGATCAAGGAAATGGAGGATCGCCATGCTAAGGAGATGAGTGGGGCAAGTGCAGTTGAGATGCAGAAGCTGCAGCGTCAGCTGCAACAAGAAAGCATGCTGAAAGTCCAGGCTGTGAAGAAGTTGGAGGAGATCATGAACCGAAAGGACAATCCGCTGAAAGGTCGTAATAAGGTCAGTGGTGCTGAGCTACGCAAAAAGGACAAAGAATGCCGAAAACTGCAGCAAGAGCTGAATCAGGAACGGGAGAAGTTCAAACAGATGGCTGATCGTTGCAGCAAGGAACTTCAGGATATACAGGCATTTTTGAATGAGGAAACTCAATCAAAGGTCAAGCTGAAGATGGAGCTTGACAGTAAGGACCTGGAAATTGAGCAGTTGCAACAAAAGCTAGCACTGTTGAACAGTGAGACAATTTCAGTTAGCAGTAGCCTTGGAGAAAATGATGGTGATGATGAAGGGTCACGACTTGAAGGGTATCTGTCAATTCCAAACAAACAGAACATCCGTCGTCATGGCTGGAAGAAGCAATTTGTAGTTGTGTCATCCAAGAAGATTTTCTTCTACAATTCTGAGAGTGATAAGGTTAATGCTGATCCATCACTCATCTTGGACTTGGATAAGGTTTTTCATGTGCGTTCAGTGAGCCAAGGTGATGTCATTCGAGCTGATGCCAAGGACATCCCAAAAATCTTCCAAATTCTTTATGCTGGAGAAGGTGAAGCACGGAAACCCGATGAAAATTTTCCTCCACCAGATGTGATGAAGTCTGATGACAAACCTGGCACCTATACGCATAAAGGGCATGAACTGGTTCAGATTTCATTCCATTATCCAACACCATGTGAAGCATGTGCTAAACCCATGTGGCACATGTTCCGTCCCCCACCAGCTCTGGAATGTCGCCGATGCCGTGTCAAGCTCCACAAGGAGCATCTGGACAAAAAGGAAGAAGTCTTGGCTCCATGCAAAGTCAATTATGATTCTAACACTGCCAAGGAATTGTTGTTGATGGCAACCTCAGTTGAGGAGACACAGCAGTGGGTGTCCAAGTTGGAAAAGAAGGTCCAGAAGGGTGGATTCAAGGCCAACAAGGAAAGTCGGGACAGATCTGGCAGCGATTACAGTTCAAGCGGTTCCAAGCTGAAATCTCATGATTCCATGCACTCTACATCATCAGCATCACAGAGATTCCAGTCCCCTGCAAAAAGTGCCACACTGCCATCAAACACCAGTCTGAAGAAGTGAGACATTTTTGGCTTTGTCCTATCTGTGATACCGTCAAGCAGAGGACCTTCATAGTGACCTTGAGGGTTAAACTGGGATCTTCACCTGCACATGCCACTAGTACACCTCCCATGATGGCAGGCGTAGATCCCTCATTTTGAAGGCTGTTTAGCCAGTGAATGTTCTGTCTTCAGAGTCACACATGCAGGTATTTCGGTGCCAACTCCTTTATATTTTTATTGTGTCATCATCAATTTCAAGTGCCTTCTTGCTCTTCCAGTGCGTTTTATACAAAGTGCTTGAATCTTGGTCTCCTATTGAAAGGGAGAAAGAGATTTTGCTTCTTTCCCCGCCCCCCCCCCAGGCAGCAGAGATTGCGAGGGCAAGTAAACCTTTATTTATTCACAATTTGTGTAAAGCTTGATATAATGTTGGCATGGCAGGATAGCTAAGCCCCAAGTCACCCTGATTCAGATGATCTGGTCTATTATTTGCCACCCACATTATTTTTTTTTTTCACATAGTTGTTGAGCACAATCTTGTTCTTGTTTGCTTGAAAGTTCCTGATGGTATCCAAGAGATTGCATTGCATTGGCAGCACCTGTTGTCCCATCTGCCAAAATCCTGTTGGCTCTGGATAAAAGACATTTCATACCCCACAATGAATATTTTTATGATGGAACAGTTTAGGAATAAATAGACAATCTTGAATGAATTCAAACTGTAGTTTTATTTTTACTTATGTGGAAAATACTTCCAAGAGATTATTCAATAATAAAAAGTTCAGATATGTCAAGTCTCATTAAGGAAAATTGCAAAATCTAAAGATTGAATTAATTGAATCCTGTTCAAAGAAGGGAATACTCAGGTGGATTCCCATTTCTACTGATACTCCTGTCCTTCCATGAATGGTAGGAGGGAGACCTTCCTGCAAGTCTCCAATACTGGATGGTACAGTTTCTTGCACATTTTTGCTACCTGCATGTTACACATGTACAGCATGTTCTTCCTTCCAGATAATTTGATATGGTGGAGAGTAGCTCCTTGCCAGTTTGAAGAGAAAAATCACAGAATGCATGGTGTTTATGAAGTCCTTCTGGGGTTTTCACACAAAATTGCCTTCTCTCAAAGAGAAAAATCACAAGCCATGTACAGGAAGTTATTTTTCTTTTTCTTTGGAAACTGATCAAGAAGATTTTTAGTTGCAGCAAGACTGATGTTTAATCAAAACATCATTAATAGAGGAGAATTTTAATAGTGTGCTGTGGCTTACCAAGTTGAAGTCAGTTGATATCCTAGTTTGTCAAATAACATTGGTACAATAGAATTTGGTAGTTAAATAACATTATTGCTGCAAATGTTGGGAGAACCTTGAGTAAAAATCCACCTTTTATAGCTGAAGAAGTTCAATGAAAAAGTTAAAGGAGACTGGATCTGGAAAGGTCAGTTAGACCCAGAATCATTCAATAAATAGAGGGAACTGTTCAGAAGAAGCATTTGCCATGTGTCAGATGAATTGCATACTTGTCATACATTTTTTTTGTCAACATTATTTTGAGAAATAGACTGCATGAACATACCTGCAACTTTTGGATGGTGCAGGCCCTACTGGAAGATGATTATGCCACTCAACTGGATTTTTGTCATCCTTTTGAAAATGATGTTTCAGAATTGTCCTTTTTTTTATTTCTTTATTTTTGGATGAAGATACTTTCAGCTAAAAGGCAAAGTTTACTGACACTTGCTATATTTGGGGTTTAGATGAGCCACAAGAACATTGAGAATGTGATTCTCCAAAGATAAATGGTTGTTGTGCAATGAGCAAACTGTATTATTGGACCATTATTTTTTTAAATGACAATTATAACTGAAGAGTGTTAACTAGCAAAGCTTTGAAACTTCTTTTCTTCTCAGCTACAGCCCTGAATCTGATGACAGATGAACAATCTTCCAACAGGATGGTATGCTGAGTTCTGCCAGGATTATTTGAAAATGTTTCTTTAACAAGAACTTCCCAGTCTAGATCAAAAGGGAAGAACTGATTCTGTGGCCACTGTGCCCTCCTTAGATTTCTTTATTGTGAGAATATATGAAAACTCTAATTTATGTCACAAAAAAGCCAAGGCTGTACTGATATACAAGCAACCACCTATATTAGCTGCTGGCAGGTTTGCAAGCTGCCAGTACTGATTTCCAAATAAGAACTTGTAGAATGAAAAAAAGAGGCAATAACTACATAAACCGGACTTGGCAACTGGTTTTCAACAGCAATAGGAAAAAATTAGGGCTGTCACAATGCATACATCAATGAATGTAATTTGTTTTTATAGTTGGAGGTATAGTAGGCTTTATTACCTGCTGCAATGGTCATACCTCCACTCCACACTCCCCATCACAGGTGAGAGATTATAGAAGACAGACAGAGGCTCATGCCCTGATTGAGGCGAGAAGCAACAAAAGTCAAACTTCCACCCAATCACAGTGAGAGGACTGAATTCCTTTGTTGACACCCCTTCCTCCCCCCACATGAATGCACTATTGATATATCAGGTCAATACATCAATGTTTTTGAAACATCCTAAAAATATTGAACATGGTTTCCTAATAAGTCTAATTGAATAAGTATATGACATAATGATTATTCTGTTTCTCTACATATGACAATAGGCATTGACACCAGCCAATAAGAATGAGATCATAATTGGCCCATTGACCAAATTGTCAATTGGTACAGCCCTGAAAAAACTTGATCTCTCTATGAGCTGAATACAACAGCTACCAGCAGTGTCACAGCACAAAATGTAGTGGTTAGGTCAAAGGTGCTATCTTGGATTGAGTGCTACATTGCTCAAACTAACCAACACCTAGATGTTTGAAACTCCCATTGGAAAAAACCTTATGTTAGTAGCATAATAGTTTTCTACTTTTTTCTGTCTCTTATAGAAGAAAGTTATTCAGTGTCAAAACTTCTCCAGAACACCCTGTATAGCCTTGGAAACATAGTCCTTGATGATTCGAATTAAGTGAAGGTACACCTCTGGCAGTCTGAAGCCATTGTTGGTCAAATTTCAGAATCTCATACCTTTTCTGACATTTGGTGATCCTTATCAGGTGCTTTTAGAATCCTTTTAACAAAAGTGGTATTGAAAAGAAGTAATTTTTTGACATGCAGAGATAATGACTGCTGTCACATATTTTTAAATCAAGAAATGGGAGTAGCTCATAGCTGGTATATGTTATCTAGCAATAGAATATATGGACATAATTTTGAAGGAAAAATGCTATTTTCATCATGTGCTTTATGGTTATGGAATAAAACAGGTACCAGTAAGTCATGCCTCGTGTGAAGGCACCAAATCCTTCTCATTTGAGCTTGCTTGTCAGTCAGGACTCTCAAATTCTTGAAGGTGATCAAGGGTCCCAAAATGACTTTGAGGACATTTCTGCTGATATCATCACACTTGGTGACTCTCCAGAACAAATTATCATCGATGATGATGATGACGATGAAGTCATTGTCATTCCGAAGCTGGAGACCTCTACAGAAGAATCGTACATCCAGACCTCAACTGATCCAGTGGATTTAGCATTGAAGGAATGTAGCTTCTATGTGCCTTTGTCCCGGACATCTAGGATCAAATCAAAAGAGTTTTGCGCTTTCCTTGGTGAACTAAAATTAGAGTTGGCAGACTCTACTCAAGGTGATTTGCCAGACCGTGAACAGTCCTGGTTGTATGTGAGTGAACAAGAAGGGTTTTCCTTATTTTATTATGAGTGGACCAAAGAGAATGGAGGTGAGAAGAGGAGATCCAAGAAGAAGGAGATTGAGAGACATTATTACAAGATTAGGGGATGCTTACCCTCTCGTGCTCTTGCAGGTAAATCAGAGAAGAAAAAGCCCATTGGGTAATAAGGTTTTTTTCATGCTTCAAAGTTGTAAATAGCACCATAAAGGGGGTGACTTGGAACATATTTTTAGCTCCAGGTTAATGTTACTGAATTGGAAATTATTTTTCTCACTGTATAATGAATTTTTCTGTGAACTCTTGGAAAAATTAACTAGACTGTGGGGTTATTGATTTCACTTCCTACAGCATCAATTTGAAAGTCAAAATTGTTTCAAGTCATGCCATATCATGGTACTGCTAGTTTGACTGAGATACACTTGGGAAAATGTATGCGACTTGTTGATATTTAACACGTTGGCTGCCACAAGCCGCACTGGTGGAAAATCAATATGCCAGCATTGCTGTGGCAGTCAACATGTTAACTGATTTTGAAGTATATACTTGGATCTCATCAGAGACACAACTGGGTATTCAAGAATTGAACTTGTAATCCTGTACAGGATTTGAAATAGGATCCAAGTCCCTGCTTTTTCCCTTATCTTTTATTATTCCCAACTTTAAATGAGACTTTCTTAATTAGTGTCTTTGTTTACATTTCTCAAAGGTTTAACACATGGTCATGAAATTCCATTTCCATCTAATCATTTCTCACTTGCAATGATGGTTACCCAGATACCTAAATATTTTCAGAATTGGGTACTCAACTACTTTATCTGGACAGTTGTATCCATAGGTTTCATCATTCAGTATTGGATAGAAATGTTATCATCATGATTTCAAAACAATTCCAACTTATTCCTGTTATGACTTCAGTATGAGATTATTCCCCATTTACAATCCTCAATATGAACATGTCCTCATTAGATGACCAACTTCTAATGAAATCTGAAAGAGCTTAGTTCATCTACCATTTATTTTGGAAAGTACTAATCTATAAGAAGCAGTTTTGGATAAATGCTAGCTTCTTTGTTCCTATTGATTGCATCATATGAGTCAATTGCATGTCTTACTATTCAATAATTGTAATAATATTCATAACAGTACTCATGCATTTTCAGTTTTCTGCTTCAGAAGTTCACCAGTGATTTATTTTGTTATATTGAAGGAGAGATGCAGGACTTGCTTTGACAGTGCAAAATTTAATCTTAGGAATCAATTAGGTATATGGGCAGTTACTTACCTATTTAACCAGCCAATTCAATGTTTTTGAATGAAATTAATTTGTCATTCCCACCTTCTGGAATGGCATTTCCAATTCTATTGTATTGACTGTATTCCCTTGAAAATATAGTATGCAAATGTATTCAAAATAGCAACTTAAAAACAGTTGACTCGCATGCTAGCTGATGAAGGGGAGACTGCATGCATTCATTGGGTAAGCAGGCTTCTCTCCCAATCAGCTCTACTATGTAGTGAGGTTTTTATTTAATAATTTTTCAATTTGAAAAATGTAATCAAATTGAACAGAAAAGATCATGCTAAGTGCAGATGGTGGTCCTAAGTAATAACTGGTTCATTTGACAAGCATAATTTAGACAAATTTGACCAGAAAATGCTATTCCATGGATGCATTGCATTTTCAGTTTGCAATGAAAGATACAAGAAAATATAGAAGCAGGCAATAATTGTGAGTTCATGGTGCACTAGAAGGTGAGATCCCCTAGCTGATAAATTATCATTTCATCTTGAATTCATGGAATCAGTGGAAGGTGTCTCTCCAGTGTCTGCCCACAAATCTTATAGAAAAGATCATTGGAAGCACAAAATAAGGAAGGTGGTAACCAAGAAGGGTACAGGTATGGAATGAAATAGATCAGGAGTCCATATCTTAGACTCCAGTCTTCCTTCAGTAAGAGGGCAAAAAAGCAGACAGGAGTTTACAGGAAGAAATTTGCAAAGCTACATGAATGTTGCTTTCTAAATGTCACTCAACAGTTATAGGGAAAAGAAGGGTTGTCACAGTGCATTAATTTTTGTATTGATAGTTGCAGGCATGATGGATTTATTACCAGTTACAATGAACATATATCCCCCATCATAGACAAGAGTTGACTGAAGACAGAAAGGGCATTTAAGGCATGAGTGATAGAAAGCAATCTCCCCCCTGATCATGAGAGATGTCAGAATCTGCTGGCAACTCCCCCTCTGTGATGCATCAATGCACCTTTGATAATTCTGGTTGAAGCTTCAATGTTTTTTAAACAGCCATCACAACAACCCCAATCAGCCTTTTGTGGCCATTGGTACAACCCTATTTTATGTGTATGCATTCACCCCATATTAGGTGTACATCATGCATCTTTGAAGATCTTTAGGTCAGTTGAGTTTCATTTTACTTAATTTTGTATTATATAAGCTTGTTTCATGCTTGTATAATATGAATCCATGAAATGCTTTTGTAGATTTGAAAGTACTTGAGGTGTAGACATGAAGCTTCATAAACATCTTGATAGAGGTGTGAAGTATGCTAAATGGAGTGGTTGCATAAGCATGAGCCACTGTTACAACTTCTGAGAGTGCAAAGAGAAGAGTACACAGGTAGCTGACCAATTCATTAGATATGGAATGAAAAGTTCATCAGTTATGTGACATCATGCATTGAAGTTCGCTTTTCCTTAAGTTTGCATTTTCTCTATAGAGTTAATGGTTTTGGAATGAGTAATTAATATAACTTAACTATATAGTTAAGTTAGATTAATAACTTATTAACTTCATCAGTTCTTGTATTGAGCCTGCTTTGATGGACTGACATCTCAATGTATTTGTTGTAGGTGTGTCAAGTCCAAAGCTTTTCCAAGTCATCATGAAGCCTGGAGAGTCTGACTCAAATGAGATAGTGCTGCAGGTGTACCTTAGAGAAGCCAGCTTGATCAGAATAGATCACCCATCTTCTTGTATCAAGCGTCCATTTGTAGGTCTTCAGGATGCCATTGAATACTTTTATGGCATTAAGACTCCGGGTAAGTCCTCTTATTTGAGTACAATGTACTTCAAATGTCATTCAAAAATTTTATTCAGTTTCTTTGTAAATGGAGTGATTAAAAGATATTTGAGCCCATTTTTTGTAGACGACTGGTGCCAGCAGTTACACCCTTGTCAAATGTTACCAATTGTTTTTAGTCTCTGGATTAGCAACAACTGTGTCTGATCTGTCGTTATGTATGTCCACATGGCTGTCTGTGAATTGAGTGGCATGTTAGTATGGCAGTTTGCAATTCATCAAGTGACATTCTGCAGTGCTAATATTCTCTATGCAACTGGTAAGAAGCTACCACTGAGGTGTGCTGGATGTTCCTCAATGTGTATAACATTATCCAAATAAGATACTCTTATGCTTTACTCAGATGCACTTAGTAATGTAAAAACCTTGTTGATTGGTTTCTGTCGCAGCTATTAATGGGTGCCCTGTGGAGGGGCTTTCCTTCATAGCAGTGTGACTTGTGGCAAACCATTTGTGCCACTTGCATGTGGCAGTTTTTGTAGCCTATCATCATTAGGTGCCTGCTGCAATTGCATGTATGTCTCAGCAGCTGCATTTCCAAGTAACACCCAAAAATCAGCAGCAAACCACTGCTGATAGTCCATTAATGCATTTGCAATCTTCCATGCTCACATTCTTGCTACTGAGTGCCTCACAAATGCCTGTGACTGCTGGTTAGTCACAAATGACTTTCAATAGCCCAGAGATTACACATAATGGACTGCAATTGATAGTGTAATTGCTGGCACTGCTTTGAAGCAAAAAAAAAAATAAGTTAATGTATATTTCAATCACCCCTTGTATATACTTCTTGTATAGTGGTCTCAAAAAAAAATAAACTTTTTACTGAAGCTTTTTTTTTCTTCTTCTAAGATTCAATATTGGACATTCTCAAATATTTGAGAAGAAAAACAAGTCTTTGCTTGCAGAAAGCCTTTTCTGGAAGAAGGGTGTGAAAGAGATGAAACTGTTGTGCTTAAGGTATGATTTCTTAAATTTGTTCCTTTCAAGGATGAAGAAAGCATTGCTTTCTTCCAAATTTGCTTCCATGCTAAATTAGGCAAGATTTGCTCCTGTATCTTATCACTCCACATGTTGTTGCCTTCGTGTAAGCAAATACTAGATGCTTTTTTGCTTGATTGTGGTGGAGAAATTTGAGAGGATTATGAAAAGTCACGAGGAGTAGTTATGTTATAAGATATGATATGTTCCTTCATTTGACTGCTGGTCTCAAGTCTTCCAGTCTTGATTTTAATGTAATAAAAAATGAGCCAAAAAAGAAGCAACGATTAATGCAATTCAATCATGTAGAAGCCATTAGTAACACTCTTGGCAGTTTTTTCCCTTTAATACTGATACCAGCATCATTCTTGTGAAAGTATTGATGGGATTAGAGCAAGAAGAAAAAAACAAAGCACAAAATTAAGGCTATGAAAGATAGGGAAAATGAAGAAAACAAATGGATTATACAGAGTCAGCTTTCAAGCATTCAGGTCAATGACAGGTCCAAATGTTTTGTGGATGAAGTGCCCGCAGAATGTCATCGCATGCTTCTACCAATTTCCATGCCAAGTCACAACTGTTGAGTTATCATATACTCCAATTGCATAACAGAGTTTTCCATTCAAGCCCATGTTTGTGCTGAGGTTCCATCATTCCAGGCAGTTTAGTTCATTGATTCTCTTCTCATAAACCAAGGTGTCCCATCGATTTTTGCTTGTTGCCATGAATGCTTATTTTAGTTTTCCATCGTAGAAAGTTGAGGCCAGATCCACTTGTATAAAATGTATATTGCATAGCTTTTGCAGTTTCTCTTGTGAATGTCCAGCTGTTCAAAAGACTTAAGTTGTCCTGATGAGGAAAACCCATTAGACATGAACAGAATTTGGTTCTTCATGCTGCAGATGCAGGCTCCTGTTCTGCAGACAATGCTGGGTGATTCAGCCATCTGGATTGCTCAATGTCAAACTATGATTCTCACTTTGTATTGCCCATGAAGGATCCACTCCCACAAGTAAAAATGGATTGGTTGAAGGTTATGCAGGCAGAATGAATCCCTAGATATACCAAGGTATCTCTTGGACATAGTCCAACAATTAATATAAAAATCACATTGAAGAATTTGACCTGCTGTCCAATCAGAAAGGTCTTGTCATCAACAGCAAGAATGGAGGTGGTGAAGTTCCTCCTGTTTGGGGTAGAGCACTGACCAGGGAATGCTCCAGCCTTGACTGACCATTGTCCATTATATTTGTTACTGAACAGGAGTCTTATTTGATTTCTTGCTTAGGGCTCATATGTTATATTTTTGAGGGTGGTTGGACTATTGGCCAAGGTTGCTTGATGGGGATGGTCCAGAAGTGAGTGGAGTTTCTGCAGTTGTGGAGGCAACATGAAATTAGTTAGCAGTGTTGGGATAAAGTTGGTGAAGCATAATAGAACAACAGTGACTCAAGGAGCAATATGGTGTGAAGTATTGAAGAGAGAGGTATTCAGTGGTGTTGATTGTTGTGCATTTTGCCCTTGGAACCTATTTGAAGATTGTCCAGTCTCAGGTCCAAGCTCCCCCTGGGTATTTCAAGTGCCAGTATGTGGCTTGTAGAACTGCAGATATTGTTTGGCAAAGTTGGGGTACATGGTTTTCTTTGGTCTGTTGGAGATGGCAAATGCATTTTGGATATGCAAAGAGAGCATCATCAGTGGTCAATCTCCTCTGAGGATATTCAAGGGAGAAGAGAGGTAGGTGCATCTTCTACCAACAGAACTGGCAGGTGCTTTGGCAGTCATCATGTGCCATCCATTTTTTCACAGCTTCATAGACAACCTTCTCCTTTGTCACTTTCAACTGCTCTATGGTTATTTTATTTAAAAAAAAACTCCAAAGACAACTGCAAAAATTATGGTTTCTTTACCACAGCCTCACACTTCCCTCAAAGATTGGCCAAAGCTATCATATGCCAATTCAGCTACACCAAATTGGTCTGCAAAGCAAGCTGGTGGATGATATTGTTGGTACCCAATGAAGATTTGAAGATCTGCATGCTGACAGTGGGCGATGATGTTGGCAACAATGCCACTTACCTAATAGCTATGCCATTTTTTAGGAAATGGAAAAAATTAGTTTAGGCCTATGAATCCCTCTGTCAATTATCATCTGCATCCAAGAGTTTTTTCAAAAGATATGATCAAACAAAACTGGATTTTGACCTAACAATTGAACTTTTTTGGTCATAACTTTTTAAGGAAAAGTCAGATGCAGCTGATGTTTGACAGAGATGTTTATGGGTCCATGACTTATTCATTCCCAATACCAAGAACATGGTTCTACATATTAATAGGTGGCACTGTGGTGGCATATGCAAAGGTAAGAGATGGAGAATAGGAATTGCTAGCAAAAAGGAATACATCTAGCATTCACTTCACTCCCACCAAGAGAAGATGAAACTCTTAGTGCAGTAACGTCTCATGTTGATGTGCTCTTACTACGTCCCTGGTAAGACATTGCATTGAATCAACATTGATTCAACGTCTGGATGTTGAATCAGCGTTGAATATGTGTTGTTTCAATGTTATGTGCTACTAGGGGTATTACCAACAAAGAAACTCTGTAAGCAGAGCCCTCGTGCTCCTTCACATTTCACCTTCGTGCAGTCACTGCACCCTCTGTCAATAGGTAGAAATATGTGCTGGGCAAGGGAATGAATAGGTCATAGACACAATAACATCTACGTCAAATATCAGCTGCATCTGACTTTTCCTTTAAAAGTTATGACCAAAAAAGTTCAATTGTTAGGTCAAAATCCAACTTTATTTGACCTTATCTTTTGAAAGAACTCTTGGATGCAGCTGATAATTGGCAGAGGGATTCATGGGCCTGAACGAATTTTTTCCAGTGGCTAAAATGTGACATAGTTAGTAGGTAGGTGGCGCTGCTGTCGACATCATCACCCTCTATCAGTATGCAGTGCCACTTAGTGGCATGGAAAAAAACCTCCTTCACTGAAGAACATCTCTGTCAAATATCACCTGAATCTGATTTTCCCTTGGAAAGTTATAGTCAAGGAAAATAGGGCCGTGACTATAATAATCATGTATCACTGTAAATTGAGAGAGCCAGTTATGAGCCTAAACCTGTTTCTCAGCTGCAAGTTTTGGTGCTGTTTGACTTCGTTTTGAGAGCCCTTTCAATGACCAAAGTTTGGTGAAAATCTGAAATTATCACTTGGGTAGTGTTCCTTGTAAGTAATACATCTGCAGAACTCTTATTTTGCAATTGTGGCAACAACAAAAATTCCAAAAGAGAGATGTAAGGATTAGGAGGAACTACAGCCAAGGAGGGAAGGGAGAAAAGAACTCCAAGTTCAAAAGGAATATATTATAGTTTCTCATTTAAGCAGAAAAGTTGGCATAGATGTGAAAGATGTGCAGAAAATAATATTCTCAACCTGGATAAACATAGGATGTTTATAATTGATGTGAGGGAATTTTTTTTTTCTTTCTCCAATTGTGTGATTTTATCAGTTTACTGAGATGATGCCATCAGCTTGGCTATTTCATCATTAATATTTTTATACTTAGAAGCTGGGCTATGATTTTCAGTTTGCCATTTTTTTGCATGCCATGCATGAGATGAGACCTAAGTGATCTGGGTGAATTCTCTGCTGGCTATAACTCTGGAAGTTCCTGTCCTCTGACCCATGCACATTAAATTTTGTAATTCTGTGTTCCTTACTTTCTAAGGATTCAAAATTGGGTCTGAATCAAACAGGGAACTCATTAACTTCTCACATCTTTCTGCTGGTGAGCATTCCAAGAAACACTCCAAATATCTTCATGGGAAGCTTTGTCGACCAGTAGATGCGCCTGGAATGAGTTTCAGTCTCCTCTGGATATACTTCTTGTCCACACCCACCTGCTAATTTTTTATGCCCTTCATGTAATCAAACAAAGTGTATACCAAAGAATGAATCAAATGTGTGATAATTTCTAAAATGCCCAGTCATGTGTGATAATTTCTGTGAAAAGTTGTTAATTCATTGAATGCAAAAATGAGAGTTGGATAAATGGGAATGGATCTGGATTCATGTCAGTTGTTGATAGCTTCATTTCAATGAAGAAGAAGCAGATGTGCAGTCAATTCTATGATGTAGGGTGATGAAGATTGGCATTTTTTGACATTAAGAAATGAGATACTGAAGCCATCCTTTCCAGGTTGAAGAGTTCCTCAAAGTGCATTTTTGACATCCTTTGGAATTCAAGACGAGTGTATATGACACATTTTGTGTCCTATACACCATGTTTATATGCAACCAAAGATGCCATGCTTCAGTGCAGTTCTTTTAATCACTATAAATGACATTCTCATACTGTTTTTGAAGCTATTATATACAAGGGGTGGCTGAAAATTTCCTGGCCTGAGTAGGAAGGGGATAGGCAAGGGAGCGTCGCATGTATATGTCATAGCTTAACATCTTGCAATTATGTGTACACAGTGCCATGACAATACTCTCAATCAAATAACCTGGTGCATCATTTCCCAATGTCTGCTGTGCATCCACATGGATGTCTTTCGCACTTTAGCCCTTCAGAAAACAGTATGGAGTCACAGCCTGGTGCTCAAATTTCTCCATGTTGACTGATGGCTATGCACAAGCACTCACGATGATATGTTGAAAATGAACCACTGAAAGTATTGTCATGAAACTGTGTACACATAATTGCAAGATGTTAAGCTACAACGTATATAAATGACACTCCCCTGCCCACCCCCTTCCCACTTAGGCTGGGAACTTTTCAACCACCCCTCATATACATTGGCAAATGGGAGCTGCCAAGTTACCCAGTTGACTAATCCTGGACTACTTTTTGTTTTATCAGAGTCCAGAAGACATTTCCAGCCCAAGTCCAGGGACAGCCTAGAGCCATTATTCTCTTGGATCAAGGAGAATCGTAAGCCTTTGCTGATCAATAGAGATGTCCAGCATCCTAGTCTCCTTCCCCTATTGAGACCTTACCAGGTGGATGCTGTTCGGTGGATGCTTCATCGGGAAGGAGTTGGGCACTTTAATATATCTGATGGTGATGAAGGTCTGTGGACATAATGGCTATATCTTCACTTTTGCTGCATCAACTCATGACTAAGGAGAAACTGGACTAGTAGAGTAATTACTGAGAGCTTGGTGACAATGAAATTGTTGGAATGAGCTTGGGCATAACTAGACCCCTTATGTTTGAATTTTCATCCACTTGGATGGATGAAGCTGTATGATGAAATAATTTTCATAAACTTTGGTAAGTCAGCCTATGTGAATTAATGGAATATCACTCTGACTTGTTTCCTGTATGACATCCTTGTAACATTTGCACATTTTTTAATGAGCTCACATCCACAGATTTTAATCATGCATGTCATACTACTTGCAGAAGGGAAGTCCATGCACTGCCTTTATCAGGAGATAGAGGTGCTGCAGGTTGTCTCAGAGGGAGAATACAGAAAGATTCCTCTTTATTACAATCAATACAATGGATATTTGATGAAAGAACAACCTGTGGTGCCACCTCCAACTCAAGGAGGGATCTTGGCCGATGAAATGGGTCTTGGCAAGACAGTGGAAGTGTTAGCCTGCATGCTCTGCCATCCTTGCCCCAATGTTCCCCTCCCTGATTGGCTGCCTCCACTCACCAAGGTTGCTGAGGTACACCTATGTGTTCTGCCATCCATGCTCACAGTTTTCCCCCTTCTCTCACCAAGACAGTTGAAGTAAATCAGGAACTCAGGATTGTAATCAATTAGTAGCATTGTAAGCCAATAGGCTTTTCTTCATTCTACATCAAGGTTGATCTCTAAAAGATTGTCTTTAAGCCAGAAATATCTGAAATTCTACATGGAGGATGGCATGCAGAGATGTGCACTATCACAAGTAATACTATTGACAATTAAATAAAAATGTTCATGTGCGTCTCTTTACACTGTCCTACATATATAGGGTGTCCTTCCAATATCAAGCACTATCTTCCAGCCTGTGGATTTTCACATAAATAAGGCAATTCTTTTTTGCAGGAGGCAATGAAGAAAGAGGACAGCCAATCAAACCTTCAGAGTTCCCAGAAGGAACATTCTTATTGCAGAGACAAACTAGATAGAGAACAGGCTTGTAGGGAAGATATAGTAAATGAAGCAGAGAGGGAAGATGGAGTGAATGAAGCAGAAAGGGAAGATAAAGTGAATGAAGCAGAGAAGGAAGATGTAGTGAATGAAGCAGAGAGAGAAGATGGAGTGAACGAAGCAGAGAATGGCAATGAATCCATAAATGAACCTTATGCCCTGAAATCATTTCAAGGCTGTGAAATGCTACAAGTTCAGGCCCACGTTGAACCAGCTTTCTTGCAGCATGCAGCCTGGGATGCCCCCAGTACTTCCAAGGCATTCTTGGATGAAGTGAATCTGAACAATCCTATTGACATGGAATGTGCAAATCTGCAGGAAGAGGAGTGTGGCAGTACTGTCAAAGTAGAATCTTCCCCTGATGTAGCAGAATCCTTGCAAAGAAGCTGTGTTGAAAGTGTTCCTAATGGTGAATTTGAGAAAGATGACTATATTGGAGTGCAGAAAATGTCTCCAAGTCAAAATGATCAACAACTGTGCAAGACTGTTGAATGTGAGGATTCCAGGTCAAATTTCACTAACAGGGAGACATATGACACAGTTGCCACTGTCATAGAAGAAGTGATTCACAAGTCTGGTGCTAGGAGGATCAAGGCCACGCCCAGGAACAAACCCAGACCATCAAAGAGGAGGGTGAAGGGTAATAGAAAAGGGAAAAAGGATGGGAAGGTCAAGAAAAAGGTGACGAGAAAGCGTGGAATGAGTGACCGCCAGAAACTGACACTTTTGTATGAGGCCACAATTGGGATATTGAGTGGAACAAAGAAACTAGAGATGGACTCAGAGCGGCGGGAACGTAACCGGGAGTTCTTCAAGACACGGGTGCAGCGCAAGACGTTCTTTGAGTGCAAGTGTGGGGCTCACGAAAGCGAAGATGATGGGAAGGGGAAGATCAGGGTCCAATGTTGCCAATGTGGACTGTGGCAGCATGCCGAATGCTTCAGGTACAACGTGGCTGATCCCAGGCGTGGACACTACTTTTGCTCTCACTGCTGGATTCAACAGGTTTTGTTCGATTGCTATTCTCTTATTCTACTAGTAATGACGATTGCTGTTCTCTTATTCTACTGGTAATGCTGTCATGCTGAAATCTGAGAACTATTTATTAAGTAGTTGTCAAAGGTTGAGGTGTGATCTAAAAGATCATAATTTTTAAGAACATACCCTGTACCTTGTACATTTTGTGCATATCAGGGTTTCCCGCACACCGAGCAAACGTGTTGGGCCGATACTCCCCTTCCTCCTTAGGGATTAGTCTTACATTTGTAATCGCCATACCTCAAATAATCTCAGCACCACTCTCACTTGGCCATGTGCAACCCCCCCACCCCACTTTCCTGCCTTCAAGGCCAGCATGAATTAATGCTTGCTTCCTTCAGCCTAGTTCAGCCTTTCCTTAATGCATGGTCATGCACTAGGAGAAGTGCGGCAGGAGAAATAGGGGAAAAAGCACAGTTTCATAAAAGAGGGAGCATCCTTCATTTACCCCTTCCCTGACAAACTTGAACCCCCTATTCTCAGGGGCGGAAAAGATGTGCGGTTTGCATTGCTGGCATGCCTGCTTCAAGAAATTCATGTGGGAAACCCTGGAAGTATGCACTTTTTTGGCTGCTAGCATTGGAATCACTTGCACCACAGTCAGGAAGATCTTTCAGAATTGATCCTACCTTCGTTTCAAAAGTTTAAAGTGCCTGTTTCTGGCTTCATCAGTGAGAAGTGGAGCTCTGCAAAGAATAAAGGTGATTATGCTCATGCAACTAGCAATTTGAAAAGTCTGCGTTGAATTATCCACAGGAACCAGTTGTGTCTGGAGCTACATTGATTGTGTCCCCTGCATCCATTAGCATGCAGTGGGTTGAGGAGATACAAAAGCACACCAAACACCAGGATGTCAAACTCCATGTATACCGGTATGCATGAAGACTTCATAGGTATAATACTTTTTGATTTTACCTTGGGAGGGTTATGCAATTGTTCATTACCCTTGTGTCATTCAGTGGTGTTTATCAGGAGGGATACATCCAGCCAAGGACACTGGCCCACTGTGACATTGTCCTCACTACTTATGATATTCTCTGCAAGGAGTTGGACTACATTGATCTCCCGCACACAAATAGTGAAGCTGGTCGAACGTTAGTCTCATGTAGCCTGGATATTGTTTCTCAGGCTTATTTTCTGTAGGCCTAGTTCAAGTCACTCCTGGGTTCATATATACATCATATGATTAAATGTATGCTTTGTGAAGTATCAGATTTTCATCCAATACTGATGCTGGCATTGATGAATAGATTTAAAGAAAAGCAAGTTCAGCATCTTTGGCCCTTATGGCTTATGGCTCATGACAGGCTTCTCATAGCTTGCAAATGAAAATATGAGATTAGCCTAATTGATATCTTTCAGATGTCCTTGAGTTCAATATGCTTCACATATTTGACCAGCCAACATTTACCCATTGTAATGGTTCTTATGTTGACAGAAAATGGTACTGAATATATTTTAATGATTGGTAGGCCTATCTGAAGGTTTCTTTCTTGTCCCTGCTTCCACCTCAGATTCCGTCACCCAAAGCGCTTCATGGCAGTTGCAAGCCCTCTGCCATGTGTCCAGTGGTGGCGAGTATGCCTAGATGAGGCCCAGATGGTCGAAGGGATCCACACCCGACCAGCTGAAATGGCCTCGCGTCTTGCAGCCATCAACCGCTGGTGCGTCACTGGTACACCTATCCAGCGCAGCCTCAAAGGCAAGTCTTTGATTTCAGCTAGAAGGAAAGAACAATAAATGTCTGTGAATCATGCACCTATCATGTTCTTCCCTTCAATGAGAACTTCATATTACCTTTATGAAGAAAATTGTAACTTGTGTTTAGCAGAAATTTGATACTTACTCCTGCCTCAACCTGAGTGAGAGCCTGTCAGTCATTCTCATTGTGTACAGTACAGTAGACTTCCCTGCAAAAATCAATTCCTCCTCTCGAGATTGTAACAAACATAATGTCTTAATGAAGGACATGAAGATGCGAAAGGATGCTAAAAAGTTTTTTTTCAATTTTAAAATGTTCAAACCATATTCATGAATCTTATTTGTTCCTTACTGAAATGCCTTCACCCAGTTCTTTGACCTAAGTTAAACTGAGTGACCTAAGTTTCTTCTATTGTTTTCTTGGTATGAAGAAATCCAGAGGAAGCCAAATAATAAATGGTTATAAAAGATAAAAAATAATGAAATTTCTAGATTATGGTATCTGGCTTCCTATTGTATCCTCTCTAAGTTGAGTCTAAATCAGAAGTCCAAAGGCAAGAAAAAGAAGATAAAAGAGGGAGAAGAAAAAAGTAAGAAATCACAGTAAATGCACCCCAGGACAGAGAGGGACAGAGAAATGAATCTTGATCATGCCTAATTCACATTATAACCCTTATAATTCATGCTTCACAAAGCTGTTTGTTGCTTGTAAATTTTGATTCACAGACACCTTTATATCATTATTAATGACATTCAGAGTTGCACTTTCCCCTTCAGGTCAGAATACAGAGATGTTATCATTTTAGATTTGTTTGGCCTTCTGCACTTCCTGGGTGTGGATCCATATTGGGAGGAGTTTTGGTGGAAGGAACTTCTGTATGGGCCATATTGCTCCGGGGACCCAGCTCCCTTGTTCAACATTATGAGTCAGTTCATGTGGCGCACAGCCAAGCAGGATGTCATAGATCAGGTTGGTTTCAGCCTCAGCATGAAATTTCACCAAGATGTCTTCCTGTTTGAAAGGTTCTAGTAAAAATCAACTAATGAGGAGCTGTGAAGACACTTTCTTTGATGTAATAATTTGACAGGACTTTTGAATACCAGCACAAGAACAACAGATCTCAGATGCAAGGATTTATTCAGCCTAAATATTCCTTTGGTATCAGATCCAGCTGCCAGCCCAAGATGAAGACATTCACTGGCTAAGCTTCTCCCCCATTGAGGAATACTACTATCGTCATCTGCATGTAGCATATGCTGCTCAGGCTCGGGAACGCCTCTGCACTTTCGATGAAAATGCATGTTTAGATCAACTTGATCGACATGTCCTCCAGTGGGCCCTGTCACCCCTGCGGCGACTTCGTCAAGCATGCTGTCATCCACTGGCCATCCGTGGTCATGGTCAGTCTATGACCCTCAATAACACACGCATGAGTATGGAGAAACTTCTTGAGCACCTTATTAAGAAAAACAAGAACGAAGCTGAAGAGATACAGAGGCAGCTGGTTGCTGCCTTGAATGGTGAGTATCCCAGAAACTAGTTTACAGGAATCATGAGCAGGGAAACTTAAAATGCTAGTGTGAACTGAGTCTTGATGGCTTATTTTGATACTGTGCTGCTCACTTGTGTTTGCAGACAGATCACAATAGCTACTTGGATTTCAATATTTTTACATCAGAGGTTCAACCAAGTATGTATATATATATTCAAGGGAAAATTAGTATACAGTGAAAACTCGTTAACTCGAACTTTTAGGGACCGGGCAAATCGTTTCGAGTTATCCGAAGTTCGAGTTATCAGGAATCCCCCCCCCCCCC